AAAAAAAAAAAAAAAAAAATTATGACAGCAAGTTACTTTTATGCTAGAAAGGGGAATAGTATAGCAAGAAAAGTTTTCATTTGTATTTAATAAATCTGTGATAATAAACAATAATTGCATTAGATTTAGAATACTAACTCTATAGACTATTCCCTTCCAGATCTGACTTTCTTGACCACCTTTTGAAAAATAGGACAAGTTTCTCTATTTGTAATTGGCCTTGTAAATTTACATTGTCAAAAGTTGGAAAGCAGCACAATAAGACACAAAATATGCAGGAGCAGTCCATCACTTTCTTCTGCTGAGATACCATGTTGGGGCAGTCTGATTTGTGATAGTTGGGAATATGGACTTTGGAACAAGTCTAATCTGGTTCAAATGCCAGCGTTTTACTTTTCAGCTATGTTTCTTTGGGCAGATTACTTTCCGTGCTTTAGTTTTCTTATTTAGAATGTCAGTGCTTGCTCTTCAGGGTTGCTGTGGGAATTAAATAGTGAACATAAAGGAGTCTAGAAGAGTACCTATGCAATAGCAGATATTCAATAAATGTTAGGTCTTTTCTCTTCATTAGGTAGGTGTATTTTCCTTGAACAATTCAAGTGCTTGTATAGATTAATGAAGCATTGTTTTAAAAAACTTACATTTGTTATCAATTCAAGATACCATTTTTACATCAAGCTTGTCTCTTTTTTTTTTTTTTTTTTTGAGATGGAGTCTCTCTCTGTCACCCAGGCTGGAGTACAGTGGCACAGGGTGCGATCTTGGCTCATTGCAACCTCTGCCTCCTGGGTTAAAGCAATTCTCTGCCTCATCCTCCTGAGTAGCTGGGATTACAGGCCCATGCCACCATGCCTGGCTAATTTTTTGTATTTTTAGCAGAGATGGGGTTTCACCATCTTGGCGAGGCTGGTCTTGAACTCCTGACCTCGTGATCCACCCACCTTGGCCTTCCAAAGTGCTGGGGTTACAGGCGTGAGCCATTGCGCCCAGCCCTCAAGCTTGTCTTTAGAGACTATGAGTCTGGTGTTGGACTAGTGAAATGTAGTGAGGTTTCTGAAGATGATGAAAGTAGCTGATAAATAGAGGGGCTTCTTTAAAAAAAAGATTAAAACAAACAAAAAAGCCTGGTACAAAGTAAAATGCCTCTTTGGGGTGTGAGACGTGGTGTTCAGGGTATTTTGCACTTTTTAAATCTCTGCTTTTAAGGAGCATATTCCTGCAGGTGTTTAGGATCTGTTCCTTTTTTTTTTTTTTTTTTTTTTGAGACGGAGTCTCACTCTGTCACCCAGGCCAGAGTGCAGCGGCGCGATCTCAGCTCACTGCAACCTCCACCTCCCAGGTTCAAGCAATTCTCTTGCCTCAGCCTCCTGCGTAGCTGGAATTACAGGCGCATGCTACCGCACCCAGCTAATTTTTGTATTTTTAGTAGAGACAGGGTTTCAACATCTTGGCCAGGCTGGTCTTGAACTCCTGACCTCGTGATGCACCCGCCTCGACCTCCCAAAGTGCTGGGATTACAGGCATGAGCCCCCGCTCCCAGCTAGGATCTGTTCCTTCTTGGAACCCCTCCTGTGCATGCCTCACACTCACCTCTTAGCCATGGTAGCTGTTGTGCAGTATTTCTTACTCTGTGTTTCTTTGAACTTACAGAATTCTATACTTAAAAGCTTAATGTCTCCAGTTATAAAATTTAAGATTAATAAGATTCCTTAATTCATCGTATTTTGAAATTGATTGATTTTTATAAGCAATAGAAATTTCTCACTAATGCAGAAATTTATGTTCTCTGTCAAACCTTTGGGATATTCTCATAGCAAGTCCAAATGCAAGGAAGGGCTCAGTGTTTCTGACATGTAGGAAGGCTTATTATACCTCCAAAATGCTACACATAGGAAAGGACAGCTACCTGTAGAGTTCCAGGATAGTCCTTTCCCTCCTGGTTATGCTGGTTAAATCTGCCTCCTCTTCCCAGAAGTTTCTGTTATTGAATGAACATTTATGAAGAAACTGAACTGTCTAGAGAGCTCTGCTGTATAGTCAGTTACAGAGATGAATAAGGATTCATTTTCTGTTCTCAAGATTTGTGACCTATGAGAAAGGAGAGACAGGCAGGATATAAATGCCAGGGAAGTGCTTGGAAGGAACAGTTAATTCTAACTGGGGAGAGTGGGGAAGGCTTTACAGAGGAAGTTGCATGTGAATTTGCCCTTGAGGGACAGAGGATTAGCAGGGCAGCATGGGGGTAGAAAGTGGACGGTGGCCACGAACTGAAGCCTGAAATGCCAGGTGTATTCTAGGAACAATGAATAAGTTGGTGTGGCTGGAACCTGAAGGTGTCGGAATTGTTTGGTGAGAAATGAATCTGGAAATGTATAATTAGGCCTGGTTATAAAGTTTCTTAAGTGCAATTTAAAGGGGGTAGAACCTTATTCCATAGATAGCATAACTTTAATGTGTTGAGAAAAGATAATGAGATCTGTGTTTTTGGTGGAAAATCTAGAGAGTGACAAGAAGAACAAAATGAAAGAAAGGAACTAGAAGCTCAGAGATGAATTAGGAGATTATTGCAAAAGTGAAGGCAGAAAATCACAAAGGTCAGGTTCGGCTGTAATCAGATATCTGTAGAAATGGAAAGAAGGTTATATTAAGAGACTTAGCTTCAGAAACTGAACTAACAGGCCTTGGTAATAAGATATGGAGATAGGGTAAGAGAAGAGTAAAAGGCGACTCATGATTTCAAGTTTCTACATATAGTGATTTCCGGTGAACAGAGGTTAAAAGAGGAACATGTTTGGGCTGAAATGAGGGCATTTCTTTTAAAGGATTTGCTGAAGCAGAGACTTCAGAACTGTAGTACTCCATATCAGCACTAACATGGGTGGCTTCATATCTCATGCTATAGGAAATTTCACATTTTGAGTTACCATGTATAAAAAGATACTGGTACCTGTTACATATATGGGGCCAAACATGAGATGTACAGCAGGTTCTTGAATAATGATGTTTTGTTCAGTGTCATTTTGTTATAACATTGATAAGAAAAATTGATTCCCAGTGAGGGCCACTGTCTGTGTGGAGTTGGCACATTCTCCCTGTATCTGCACAGGTTTTCTCTGGGTTCTCTGGATTCTACATCCCAAAGCTGTAAGTGTTAAGTTCATGGCGTGTCTAAATTGTCCTGGTCTGAGTTGAGTGTGGGTGGTGTGAGTGTGCCCTGCAATGGAATGGCATGCTGTCCAGGGTTGGTTCCTGCTTAGCTTCAAGGGTAGGCTCTAGCCACCCATGACCCTGAACTGGAGTAAGCGAGTTGGAGAATGAATGAATGAATGAATGAATATATATTATTGCAACATATAAATTTATTAAATACAATAACTACAGAAATATAGGACAATAAGCAATGCAGTGTGAAAGTGCTCAGTGAACCTGCCATATTTGTTATTGTTTATTTTTGAACTGCATTGTGGTAGGAGGTGATCTTTACAATTGTCCCTTTGCAAACATTTATTCCGTGATTTCACCTCCACCACGATGACTACCATCACTCACGGATGCAGCAAAAATTGGATAATTAATTGTCCTACTTATTTTTGTTAATTTTTCTTAAATGTGTATATAGCTCACATTTATTTCAATCTTTAATATTAAAAGAGTTTTGAGTCTTTACTTAGACATTTGATGTTTTTGTGACCAGAAATATGCCATAGGAACCTAATTCTTATTTATATCAATTACTCTATGGTAAAAATTGGTTTAAATTATACATTGCTTCACTTAAAGTTGCAGTTTTCAAGAACCTATTGGTGGCATTAAGTGAGCACTTGTATTTTTGCAAGTTTATTATATCACTTTTTTTTTTTTTTGGAGATTGAGTCTCGCTCTGTCACCCAGGCTGGAGTGCAGTGGTGCGATCTTGGCTCACTGCAACCTCCACCTCCTGGGCTCAAACAATTCTTCTGCCTCAGCCTCTCATGTAGCTGGAACTGCAGGTGCACGCCACCACACCTGACTAATTTTTAGTAGAGACAGGGTTTCACCATGTTGGACAGGCTGGTCTTAAACTCCTGACCTCAGGTGATCCGCCTACCTCAGCCTCCCAAAGTGCTGGGATTATAGGCATGAGCCACCATGCCTGGCCAATTATATCACTTGGTTGTTTTGAGACATAGTCTCGCTCTCTTGCCCTGGCTGCAGGGCAATGGCGTGATCTTGGCTATTGTACCCTCTGCCTCCCGGGTTCAAGTGATTCTCCCACCTCAGTCTCCCAAGTAGCTGGGATTACAGGCATCTGCCATCATGCTGGGCTAATTTTTGTGTTTTTGTAGAGATGGGGTTTGACCATCTTGGCCAGGCTGGTTTTGAACTCCTGACCTTAGGTGATCCGCCTGCCTCACCTTCCTAAGTCTTGGTATTACAGGCGTGAGCCACCACACTTGGCCTATGTAATTTTTTAACAGAAGAGTAACACAAATAACTTTTTAGTCTTCAAGAGACCTATGAAGCCAAAAGACATGAGTTTCATGGTGAACGTCAGAGGAAGGAAGAAGAAATGAAGCAGATGTTTGTGCAGCGAGTAAAGGAGAAAGAAGCCGTATTGAAAGAAGCTGAGAGAGAGGCAAGTATGCTGGTTTGATGTGATTTGCATTTATTTTTTAGATGTCCTATTAATTTGGAGAATTTATTCCAAGAATTTACTTGAAATACTTTTGTAGGCAACTTGTTCTTTAAAATGTAGCTTTTCCAACACATAGTCTTTGAATATTGACTTAAAAATGATAGTCTGAAATTAAATGAAAACTTTGGCCTTCTTTTTTTTAAGCAGTACATTTATGGAGTGACTAATCGTTGAAATTCTTACAATGAACTGGAAGCTGTAGCAGCTGCCTTCTTGGGTGCAGGCATTTTTCTTTTGTGGAATCCATGAATCTATGGTGTACAATTTTTAGGTGCCTTGTTCAACCAGTCCCAGTGGTAGTTTGTCTCTGTTAGTGCCAAGGCTAAAAGAAGAAACACCACTGGATGTTTTCTTGTGCCTGGCAGGGTAAGCCACATTTGCCACAGGCCAACGTCTGAAGATAGTGGGCATCATAGCCACAGTGGCAACACAGTGTATGCATCTTACTGCGATGCCTTTCAAATGATGACCTTCCCTTTGTCATCTCACTCCTGTAACTGAGACCAAAGATAATTTTGGCCTTTTGAACAAATATTCTTCCATTTCCCTTTAGAAATGGTTTATCAAGGACTTGTAGTGGACTAGGTTACTAAGAAATATTTTAACCATGAGCCATAAACGTTTTTATTGTGCCTTAATAAAGCCTTTTTTGAGTGTTGCTGGGGTGGCTGTTTGCCTGAAATGGATATCTGTGAAGGCTGTGATGTAGCTTTACTTCCCTTTTGAACTCAGTCTCTCAGGGTGCAGTTAGGTGGTCTAAATCAGTGGTCCCCAACATTTTTGGCACCAGGGACCAGTTTCATGGAAGACAGTTTTTCCATGGACCACGGGAGATGGTTTCAGGATGAAACTGTTCTACCTCAGATCATCAGGCATTTGATTTTCATAAGGAGTGCACAACCTAGATCCCTCCCATGTGCAGTTCACAATAGAGTTTGCGCTCCTATGGGAATCTGATGCCACTACTGATCTGACAGGAGGCGGAACTCAGGTAGTTATGCTTGTTTGCCTGCCCCTCACCTCATGCTATACAGCTGAGTTCCTAACAGGCTATTGACCAGTACTGGCCCACGGCCTGGGGTTGAGGACTCCTGGTCTAGATGACCGTAGCCCGGCACCAAAAATTCACCACTGAACTTGCATAGCTTTGTTTGCTTCTAGTTCTCAAGCAGCAATTTAGGTTTTGAGTAAAGCTATTTTCTTGAAAATATACAATTTCTTGAAGAGTCAATCTGTAATCCAATTGTGCTAGTTTATTATTTCAAGTACATTTATATTGCTATGTAAATGAACCCTGCAGGAAATGGTTTTGTAAAAGTAATAGTTTACTAATTTATTTATAATTTGAATTTTGATGTTCTGTTTGGAAAAAGTTCAAACAACAGAAAAGTGAAAGTATAGGATACCTGTGTTCTTCCCTTTACCTAAGAAAATAGGAATATCATAATCTCACCCAATCTTCAGTCCTTATTCAGATTTCCCCAATTGCCCCAAGATTGGCTTTCGTTCCTTTTTGTTTGGTGATTTTTCTGTTTTTGTTTTTGAACCAGGATGCAATCACAGATTGCATATTGCACATGGATATTATGTTTGTTTAGTTTCTTCTCTTTTATTCAGAAGTTTCTCTCTTATATAGCATGATTCTTAGTTTTACCAATTCACTAATAAAAAGATACCACTCAAAACATTATTTAATTGTATATTAAAGGACTGTTATTTAAAATGCCCTTGCCAGTATTATTGTGAAACAAATATCCCTTAATTTATCTTTTGTATAAATCTAGATTTTTATATGTAGCTTAGTAAAATGCTGTGTACTTAGATAAGGGTGTGTGAACATTAGATGATTAGAGTGGGGAGATGCACAGAACAAATGATGTCTCCAAATATCGTTGACGTGCTGTCTTTCCTATACCTTTATTGACAAAATTCTAGAAGAACTAATGAGGCATCCTACATGTGACACACCAATTTCCCATATGCCTTCCCCCACTACAAGAAAAAGTACATAGTTTATATTTATCCCTCAAGTGACATGACCATCATTAAGGTATTATTTCTTCTCAATATGATATGTCAGTCTTATCTTGGGATAACTTTTTCATTTAACATTTATACCCCTTGTATTTTCAAAAAGTAATTTACAATTTCTCAGTAATTTACAATTTTAAACTGCAGCTGCATTACAACCATGAACACGAGGAGAACAGGAGCCTTATAATACCGGGTATGAAGAAGGGACTTGCACAGAGGGTAGCCGAGAGTCCTGCATCGAGGGAATTTTTAAATGAACACGAAGACTGGGCTGTAACTTCTAGGCAGGCCGGGCAGAAGGGACCACACAGAGCTTAGATGGAAGTCATCTGCTAGCTCAGCAGAGAAGTATTTTCCTTAGCATTTATTTCTAATTTCTAAAAATGGGGCTGGGTATGGTGGCTCATGCCTATAATCCTAGCGCTTTGGGATGCCTAAGTGGGTGGATTACTTGAGATCAGGAGTTCAAGACCAGCCTGGCCAATATAGTGAAACCCATCCCTACTAAAAATACAAAATTTAGCCAGGTGTAGTGGCATGTGCCTGTAATCCCAGCTACTCAGGAGGCTGAGGCAGGAGAATCGCTTGAACCCAGGAGGCAGAGGTTGCAGTGAGCCAAGATTGTGCCACCACACTCCAGCCTGGGCTACCAAAAAAAAAAAAAAAAAAAAAAAAAAAGTGTGGGGGGGAATGCTTTTAAAAGGATCCTTGAGTAACAGAATGTGTAGTATCCTTAAAATTAGTGTTTACAAAAGATACGCGTTGTACGGTAGTCCCCCCTTATTCTCAGTTTCTTTCTGAGGTTTCAGTTACCGGTGGTCAACCATGGTCTGAAAATATTACAATAAGATATTTTGAGAGAGAGAGAGAGAAAGAGACCACATTCACGTAACTTTTATTACATGTATTGTTATAATAGTTCTATTTTATTGTTGTTGTCAGTTTCTTACTGTGCCTTAACTTTACCATAGGTGTCCATATATAGGAAAAAACATAGGGTACAGCACTACCTGTGGTTTCAGCTGTTCTCCCAGAGTTTTGGAACATATTTCCCAAGGAATAGGGCGGACTATTGTACCATATTGATGGCTTAATCTTAAGAGAATTGGTGACTATCAATAGCACAGAAGATCCCTTGTTTTTAATTTTTTGAGAATTTGAAAATATATTTGAATTAACTGCCTGTTGTAGTGAATAATGGAACCATGCATGAATGCTTCATGTATATGGAATAGACTGTTGGTAGCCAAAGCTTGAAATGCCATGCAGTGTGAATAATAGTCCTGCCCCGCCCCCCGTTGTTTAATTTTTCCTCTTTGTATTTTTCCTGGAATTTTTTAGTCAACCTCATGAATGATGTATGAAGTGCCCTGTGACCTTTCGAGATATTTTAGTGTGCATATGAGGTATGCAACCTCCATTTGAGTAACCAGAGAACTATCTCTATTCATGTGATAGAAACCTTCCCCTACTGCTTCCTTTCCAGACTTTGCCCTGCTCCTGCTGCTATCCCACATCCTGGGTGCACACATGTTCAGAGAGCTCTCTGTTTGTGCCACTGATTTGAATGACAGCTGGGGAGCCTGCCTCTTTAAACACACACACATACCTAATATGTAACTTTTTTAAAAGCAAGAATCATTTAAAAAAGCAAATACTAAGGAACTGATGCTTCTCTGAAAAGGTATCCTCTGGAATAAAAGCTTCTTAGGTTAGAAGGGCCTTAATCATCTGTTTCAGCCTTGTTTCCATTTGAATACTTTTCCTGTCAGGTGCTCACTGGCTCACGGGACAACCTATTCCATATTTGGAACATAACAGTTTTTATTAGAACGGAGTTGAGCTCCCTAGTTTCTTCCCTCAGTCTCTGATTTTCAGTGAAATATTTCCTCAACTATTATATATCATCTTTTTCTAGACACCAAGTCCTGCTTTGTTTGCATGAATGCTAGGTTGCTACCCAGAACTAAAATGTTAATCTCAGATTTACCTAACCAGACCAGAGGACCAAAAACAAGGTTATCTTTTAAAATGTAGATTCTAGACACTGTGGTTGTGTTGTTAGAAGGCACAGCACACAGCTGATTCATATGGAGCTGACACTGATTCACATGGAGCTGGCCTGACACCCTAGATTTTTTTGGTGGGAGTAAGCCACAATTAAACCAGCTCTACCTACATTCTTCCTTGGACCGTGTCTCTTTGAACTTGCATTCAGAACTTCACATAATGTTCATCTGTATTTCTTCTCATTACTAGTTCTTCTACATCTTTTAGAATTCTTTTATGAGCAGCATTGTGTGCTGCTCTAGGGGTATAAAAATGAGAAAGATGTAGTTCCTAAGTAATCCTCCGGGAGACATTGCTCCCACAGTTACCCAGCACATGTGTGCTAAGAGTTTCTCTTTTGCAGCTGTAACAGAGCAAAGCACACAGAAAGAACTACCCATGGTGGCGGCTGGAGCAAGCTGAGATTTCTATTTTTTGTTAATAACAATGGATAATATTTATTGAGTGTTTACTCAATGCCAGCCATCATGGTAAAAATACTAAATAGATTTTTTTCTTTTGGTATATCCCAGTTTTTTTAAAGCTTCCTTTTTATTTTTAAGTTTCCAGAGTTTTACATGAATGCCCTTCATTGCTTTGAGACATATGCCTTCTATAATCCATATAGGGCATTCCTTAAATTGTGGAGCGAAATAAAGTAAAAGACCTGCCTGCCCCTAAGTTGACATCCAAGGTGAACATTGCTCCCTTTATATGGTTTATCAAGGTGATTTTCAGCCCCAAGGAGATGAAAAGTACTGAATTGTGTCCTTTAAATATTTTTTCTTCTGCTTTTTTTGCTTGAGATAAATCTCTTGATGTAACCTTATGGACTTTTGTGAAACTCATTTAACAGTTGTATAGGGGAAGAATAACCCCTGTAGGTTCTTAATTGGAATAACTCCTTTCTCAGATTAACAAAAGGAAAACAAACAGTTTATTAGCATGTATATTTCACATATACATGGGAGATACAGTTAGTAATAGTTCTCAAAGAGGCATCTGCATCCTGCCTTCTATAGCATCTTCAACAAAGAACAGTTAAATTTTAGAGAAATGACAAGACAAAGGAAAAGGACTTGGAGTCTCTCGGGGTAGCAACTTGGAGGAAGGCACATAGCTGGCAGATGGAGGCTAGTCAGTAAAGCTAGTTAATGTAGATCTGTCTGGCACCAGTCTCCAGTCCCAAAAGGGTCTGAAGTTGTCTTTGGTGGTTAACCTTTGTGCTCTCTGGTTGGGGTAGGGAGCTGGATACCTTTTCTTTGTACATCTATATCCTGCCTTTAGGCACCTAAAGGGAGGTCAGAGAGCTTTTCTGTGTCTGCTGCTTCTTGGTTGCCCTCAGCTCAACAGTCCTGCACATTCTGCTCTCCCAAAGCTTTATTAAAGCTATTTAGCATTAATTTATTCTTTGATTTTATCTTTATTGGATACTTAGGCTATTTTTTTTTCCTATTGTAGTATACATTGTACTCCAATGAGTATTTTTATGTATAAAGCTTTCTCTGAATTTAGGGTTTTTTAAAGCCTAGATTTCAAGACATTGAAAGACTATGGAAAAATACAATACAGTTTTAACGTTCTTGACATAGTTGACAGTTGACACTTGCTTTCCAGTGATGTTTACCAGTGCAATTTTACAGTAACTGTTTACTGCACATATTTTATTTAGAAAATAGCATTGCTGTTTTTTTCCTTTCTGGTAATTTCCTTCTGTATTTTACATCTGTTACTTTTATTGAGCATGGACTTGAGAGACTTTAAGAGGTTTTGTGGGGAAAATATACAGTGAGAAAATAAAAACTAGGAAAATGTCACGTTTTTAAAACAGTTTTGTTTAAAGACTATGATATTTATTATATTTGGTTTAAGCATTTTTTTTTTTTTTTGCATGGGAACTCATTTAAAATAAAACTTACCAAGGGAATTCCATATGTAAACTTTTCCTTGAAGCATGAACTATTGAGACTTTAGGAAGATTTGGAGATAACTGTAGGTTACTGTGTATTGCGCCATGGGGTCCACTTTTGTGTTGTTGAGCGGCAGAGCATTTCTCTGCTGCCATGCTGTGTCAGTGGTGGGGATTGCACTTTTGTTTCCAGCTACAGGCCAAGTTTGAGCACCTTAAGAGACTTCACCAAGAAGAGAGACTGAAGCTTGAAGAAAAGAGAAGACTTTTGGAAGAAGAAATAATTGCTTTCTCTAAAAAGAAAGCTACCTCCGAGATATTCCACAACCAGCCCTTTCTAGCAACAGGCAGCAATCTGAGGAAGGACAAGGACCGTAAGAAGTAAGAGGCCTAGTCACCCTCCCTGGCAGCCCTGCTTGCACTTGTCACATTGCCCTGTCGGATCTTCCTTGTGCTTCTTACTTCTGCTTCCTTATGCTTTGTCTGCCCCCCACAACTAAATATCAGCTCCTGAAGAGGAAAGACCTTGTCCCTCTTGTTCACTGCTGTTTTCCCAGCATCTAGAACAGCACCTGGCACATGTTATGTGTCAGTGAGTATTTGCTAAAATGAATGAATGAATGAACAAAATAGAAAATCATCACAGTGTAAAAAGGATCAGTTAGCTGAAGGGGAAATGGTTGCTCTTATTTAATAGCCCAGCCGTGGCCCTAGTACACAGCTAATGGCCACTGACCTGCCATGAGTTATTTTGAATTTCATGTCTAAATGAAGCTGTGCCCTTTGTTGGGGAATTACAGACATAAAATAGTATTTTACTAAACTAATTATTAGGTTCGATTTTTTAGAACAAATTCTACTGATACTGATTTTGTGAGAATTTTTATTTTAATAAGGGAACAAAGCTGTCGATTCGAACTCCTGTGCGTTGATGTCAGAGCTTGTGAAACCAATGGTGGACGTAAAGATGCAGAGAAAGGTAGAGAGGGCCACAGTGCAAGGGGGCGGCCATGAGTAGCATGTGGATGATAATCACAAGGCGTGTAGGTTTGGGGTATGTGTTAAAATCAGTTACTCAAGTTTTAGAAAATAAGTTTATTTTTCCTTTTTGATAATTTCCTTCTGTACTTTATGTCCCTTGTTTTATTTCTTCCACTTAAGATGTCCCTGTCAGTTTACTTATTTGGCTGTTGAGGAAATTCATCATGCCTTGTTCTGTTCAGAATGCTCATCTGTGGGACTCTGCCTCAGTTTGCTGTAGCTGCCTCTGTGTTAGCAGCATCCTCTGCTCCCATGTTCCCTTCTATTTCAGACCCATTTTCAGAATATTGCAACTCACCTTTAAAATAAGAGGACATAACCTTGGCTCATGGTGGCTTTCAAGTTTTTATATATAGAGAAGTAAATCCACAGGACTTTGGCAGATTTTATTGGCCTATATACTTTACAGGTATTTTTGGAAAAAAGGAATTCTCATGTATGATCTTTTAACGTAAGCTCTCCAAGAGCATGGATCTTTATCTTGTTTATTGATATAGTCATCCCCAGAGCCTAGAACAGTGTCTGCTACATAGCAGGCATGCAATTTTTTGTTAAAGAATAAATATAATAGTAGTATAAAAGCTATATTTTATTCAAGCATTGAATTTTGAAAGATAAACTATACAGTTATTACTGCTTTTCAACCTGCTTTGGATTTTAAAGCTAATGGATCTTTTATTAATATATTTTTTTCTTCATCTTAACCCAGTGTTACTAAAATTAGATTTCCCATTTTTTTCTCATATATGAAAGATAAATTACATTTACCTTGTAAAAATTATCACCCTACTCCACTTGAGAACCCTGCTGTTTGCAAAATCAGGACCAAGCCCATATTTTTTGAGAGCTCTTCTAGAAGAATTTATCTTCAAGAAAATATGGCTTGGTGTTTTTGGTTTTTTTTTCTTTTTCAAAGTCCTGTAGCTAGATATCCTATAATATATTAGATGCATATTTGCTAATTTTTACTTCTTGAATGTTTTTTTAAAAAATTGTACCAATTAAAAGATTCTTTTTTTTTCCAGCTCCAATTTTTTGTAAAACAGAAGTTCCAGAGCACAGAAGGTCATCATCACAAGCAAACTTTATTAAAAAAAAAAACAACTAGAAATATGCTTTGATTTTGTTGTTTTTATTTGCTTTATCACTTCATCTATATTTGGTGAACGGCCACAGTTACTGATATTTATGGAAAAGTACCTTCAAGCACAAGGTCAATATGTAAGCCAGAGTGAATGATATTTTAAGTTGAGCATCTCTAATTAAAAAATCTGAAATCCAAAAGCTTCAAAATCTAAATCTTTTTGAGCACTGACTTGACCCCACGAGTGGAAAATTCCCCACCTGACACCTTTGCTTTCTGATGGTTCAATTTAAACAGATTTTGTTTCTTGCACAAAATTACTAAAAATGTTGTATAAATTACTTTCAGGCTATATGTATAAGGTGTATGTGAAACATAAATGAATTATGTAATTAGAGCCAGGTCCCATTGTGTATATGCAGATATTCTAGAATCTGAAATCCGAAACATTTCTGGTGGCTAGCATTTTGGATAAGGGATACTTAACTTGTACCTATATATTCATATATATTCACTGTTAGAAATTTTTAGGTTGCTGTTTTGTGATGACTAAATCTTTTCTGTTGCTACCAAGCTATTGTCACTGCAGTGCATTATACCAAAGAGCACGGTGTCAGTGCCATTGAAAATACAGAACCCATTCATATCGGGGCTATCTGATTGCATTTATAGTCCTAGATGAACCTTTTTTATATATACTAAAAATTTGGGGGAATATGTTTTGGGATCTATTATAGAGCTAAAACTCTAACCTCTTAATAGTTTTATAGAACTAAAATTTTTGATACAGTTACCCTATTGGTGATATGATCTTAAGCTTTTGTGTCAAATTATTTAACATGATGACTTCATGCTTCAGGATGCCTTATTGTGGCTGATGTATTACTGTGGTGAAACAAAATATCTTTAAAAGTTAAAACATCCAGCTATATAAACTTTTTTCTAATGAGAAAGTACCTTTGAACATGGGTGTATCACAGTTTTCATTAGGAAAATATTTCAATACATACTTGTTTAAACTCTGCCTTCCAGGGGAAATATAATAAGGTTGAATCATTTTGTTAAAAATATTTTTTAAGAAAATATGAACATCTGAATATTAAAGATATAAAAATGCAGATAATTCATATTTTATGTGATGTTTGCATTCAGTGCCTTACTGTTCTCAACACTAATGATTTCTAACATTTCTTAACATTCGTAGATAAATTTTCATTTTTTGTACTTGAATATTCTAAATAAAACTGACATTTACTCTTGACAAATAAAACATATCTATATATTTACTAAAATGTGTTTAATTTTCCTTTTTGAAAACTCATTTTAAAGGCAATTACATTTTTTAATTATTTTGAAGATGAGGTATTTTATGAGTATTTTCAGACAAAACATATTAGTCTGTGTCAGATTGTGAGCAATCATAAAGTCATCTAAGTTGTAAATAAAGCCTTGCATAGCACAATTTATCTGTACACGTTAAATTTTATTTTTGCATTTGAAATGCACAAATGTCAGTCTTTTAAAACTTCAGTAAATTAAATTAAACGTGTCACAGAACAAGCTCAGAAGTTTCTTCTCAAGATCAGTGACACCCAGGTTCTGGTAGGCGGGGAGTCCTGGAGGGTAGGCGACCTGAGGTACAAAGCCAGGCCAGCGCAACGGTACTTAGTGCCAGCTGAGCAGGCTACTCACAGAGGGGCTTGGTGACACTGTGGGAGTGTTTGTTATATATGTGGCTATATTTGACCACACTGTTTATAAAGCAGCTGTCCTTGACTCTGAAGAATGTATTTTGAAGTGTGAGATGGGTTGTTGGAATGGTAAACAGTTACTCAAGTTTTAGTTGAAAATAACTTAATGGAAACCTGCCGAAGACTCTGGACTTAACAGGAGGGCTGTCATTTTGCACTGCTGATGACTGCTGTGAGAAAGCCTCACTCCTGCTTCAACCACAATGTGAATTTTTAATGTATTTCATATATTTGGGTTCCATGTAAGATTTTATTTTCAAAGTTGGACAACCAAGAAAAAAAATTAACAATGACTTCTTATTACAAAGCTAATTTATTATCAGGCACAAGATTAGAAAATGAATTATCCACTGATGCTTAAATTAATCTCCTGGGAATAAAATAAAGCTAGTCATGTTTTGTTGAAAAATTTTTCCTATTAAGCTTATGAAACAATTGCCTCTAACAGTCATTAATCCTGGTATGTACTCCCTCTGACTTTTAAAGCTCTTTGGCATAGACTAGGATTTGAGCTTCAAAGCAACACAAGGAAAAAGCATTACCGGGATTATTATCACCATATTGTGAATGAACTCAGTATAGGCCCCACGTTCGTATTGGGCCTGGAAATGGGGACACAACGTGATTCGGGCCATCCATGCATCGTGGAATAGCCGGAGCAGGTTGGACAGGCAAGCGGGTTTGGAGCAGGGCACTCTCAGGGTGTCTGTCTCCTCACAGAGCACAAGGACCCATCAAAGGAAGTGACTGGTCCTGAGAGACTGGAGCAACTTGTCCAGTGAATGAAAGAAGAAGGCAGACCCAGTACAAGGCACAGCATGTTGTATGCACTGGAAAGTAGTTGAGCACTGTCAGTACCAGGGAGGAGTGGGGCTCCAGTAAGGGTCAGGTTTCAGAAGCAGGTAAGGACTGGGTCAGGAAAGTTTGTAAGTGCTATCTGGCAGGCGGTGGGAGCCATTGAAAGGTTTGGCCTCATAAAGTTAGGTGTTCTCCAGTGTTTATGGGAAGGAGATATTGGCAGACAGGGGAGCTGGGCCAGGGGCAGGCCAACCCTTTAGAGAGATATAATGGACTCACCTAAGGAGTGTTTAAACAATACTCATGTAGAAAGGAATGTATAGTAATGAAAATGGTAGCCGTATGGATAAATCCAAATGAATAGCCTGTATAAAATAATGATAACGTCTTATGGACTTGAAAATACACAGTGAATTAAATTATGAGAAAATAATGGCATAAAAATTGGGGATGGGGTAAATCGAGGGGTCTCAGGTTCTTGCATTAACTGGGAAATGATGAGGAGTCCCAGTCACAGGTAAGTCACAATTGCTTCTCGCCATCTCTAGGGTAACCATACAACATGGTGATTTAACTTCCAGACTAATAGGAAAACTGGTTTTAAAATGCTGATACAGAAGAAAGTGAGAAGCTACAGGAAATAGCACAGGTATGACAACCAGAACACATGTAATATGGTAGATTTAGACCCACATATATCAGTAAGTACTTAGATTACATGATCTTAAGTTTTTTTAGATAAGTTTCCTAAAAAGGCAGCTATATGTAGTTTACAAGAGAACAGTCTAGAACTTTGCTTTTATAGACCAGAGAAAGGTTAAAAGAAGATGGGAATAGATATATTATTCAAATTTTAATGAAAAGCTAATGTGTAGCTTTTTTGTTTTGTTTTGTATTGAGACAGTCTTGCTCTATTGCTCAAGTTGTTATGCAGCAGTGGCGCAGTCATAGCTCACTGCAGCCTAAACTCCTGGGCTCCAGCAATCCTGCTGTCTTAGGCACATCACCATGCCTCACTTTTTTTTTTTTTTTTTTTTTTGGTAGAGACAGAGTCTTGCCCAAGCTGGTCTCAAACTCCTGGCCTCAAGTGATCCTCCCACCTCAGCCTCCCAAAGTGTTGGAGTTACAGGCATGAGCCATTGTGCCTGGCCAATATTTTCTGCATATTAAGAGAACTTTAAGGCCAAAAGCATTGCTAGGGATGAAGAGAGACCTGTAAAATAAATAGCAGTCTGAACTATACATCCCTATGTACAAAATAATAGCTTCAGTGTATGTAAAGCAAAAATTGATGGGAATATAGGAAAATTCAGATTCACACTTAGTGTGAGATTTAAACATACCACTTGTGTATGATGGGACAAACAGACTAAAAATCAGAGCAGATATGGGAGACTTGAAGAACACATAGCAACAGCCTTGGCCTTGTGAGCATAGATAAAACAGTGCACCCAGAGAATGCTCATTATTTTCAAGCACACGTGGAACATGGAGTTGACTGTTTTACTATAAAGCAAGCCTCAATACCTTTAAAGGAATGAAATCATACAGATTATGTTGTTGATTATAATACAGTTAAGATAGAAACCAATAATAAAAAGCTAAAAAATTCCTGTATCTAAGGGAACTTGTTTTGCTCAGCACCATACAACCTAGCAATCCCAGTCCTAGATGTGTACTCAAGAGGAAAGAAGACATGTTCGATCAGGACCCGTCTAAAAGTTTGTGGCAGCCTTCATCTGCCAAAACCCAAAACAACGCAAGTGTCCATCAACTGGTGAACACATAAACAAGTTGTGGTTCATCCATACAATGAAAAGGAACAAGCTACAGGTATGTACAAAACCACAGATTAATCCCAATTATATTATGCTCTTAAGCCAGATGTAGAAGGCTGCGTATAGCATGACGTCATTTATGTGACATTTTTTTTCCAAAGCAAAACTATAAGGACAAAGCTGTGGTTGTGGCCAGATTCACACCTGTAATCCCAGCACTTTGGGAGGCCAAGGTGGGTGGATCACCTGAGGCCGGGTGTTCAAGACCAGCCTGGCCAGCATGGTGAAAACCCTGTCTTACTAAAAATAAAAAATTGGCTGGGCGCTGTGGCTCATGCCTGTAATCCTAGCACTTTGGAAGGCCAGCGTGGGTGGATCACCTGAGGTCTGGAGTTCAAGACCAGCCTGGCCAACATGGGGAAACCCCATCTCTTCTAAAAATATGAAAATTAGCTGGGCATGATAGTGCATGCCTGTAATCCCAGCTACTCAGGAGGCTGAGGCAGGAGAGACGCTTGAACCAGGGAGGTGGAGGTTGCAGTG